ACTATTTAATTGTGACCACGCTGTGTATATGTCCATGTTACGGGCATGAATAACATTTTTTCATATGTCATTTTTACACTAAAGATGGCGTTTTTGTATTACAGCTTTTACTGTATTTGAAAGACATGGCGGAGAAAAAAATGCAAAGCTAGTGGGTATGATTATAAACATATATAGGAAGTATATAATAATCCTACAAAGTTAATCAGCTATAGATAAACGTAGGGCTTTGGGGTGAATACCAGTAAGTTTTACATTCGATGTTCGAAGACTGTAACTTAGTACTACAAGTCAGTATGATAATTCCAAAAAGTAGTTAAATTATGTCATTGTTAATCTTAATAACTAAATATGTAATGATGTTGTATGTTCATTAATGACTGTTCTATTTTGTTGACTTTTGACGTACGTATACTGTTATAGTGAAGTTCTACTATTATTTATAAGTTATTGTAGTCTGAACTTAAGTTATGGGTAAGTCATGTAATACTAATTTATTTTAATTACTATCGTGTTTAAATTAGTGTGTTCAAAAAACTGTCAAAAGACAACCTGCGCAGAAGACGTTTTTTAGTTTTACTAATTTTATATTTATTAGGGAGGATTTTGGAAAATTTTGTTTATACCAAAATGTAGTTAAACATTGATCTGGAATATCGTTACAAGCGAGGACACCAAGCTGAGGAAACAATGCATTCTAAACTTTTTAACTTTGGTAAGAATGTAAAATAAAAAGTACAATTAACAAGATATACTCCTTACCAAATTCATTTTTAGTTTTGCTCTGATTGCAAGTTAATATTTAGTAACAATATGAAGAATTTGTATATAGAACAAATTTGGTTGCTTTATCATAAACATCCAATACTTACAATATTTCATAAAAATGACTTGCATTATTCCTTTCTTTAATTTTAAAACTGGTAAACTTTTGTCACAATAAAAGCACTCTGTTGTTGTTTTGTTTTCAAATATCAACTAAGAAAATACACATAAAATGTTATTACTTAACACAAAAATAAACTTTTCTTTTCTGTATCAGGTGTCATACCAAGATATTTCGTGATATACAGAATAATTAAATTATTTTGCTTTGAAAATTCATTAGCTTTTTTCAAGTTCTAAGCTGTGATCATTTTCTCCTCCAGTTACATACTACATCATCAGTACAGTTACACTCCTATTTACCAAATCTTCTTCTCCTTATTTTTATTTGAGTGATTAAAATCATATGTTTTTTTCCCCTTATTAAATCAGGAGCATAGCTAGGCATAATTTGGAGTTATGCACAGTGGAAGTGCCCCCCCCCCTTCCATTTGTGGGAAGTTTCTGAAATTTATTTAAACCTGAAATGGCACATTCTGATGATTTTTTTTTTTGGCATAAATAATCTGTGATAAGTGATCCATAAATCAATGCCAAAATGTATTGCAAATATATACATTTTGACCACTGGCATTTTTTTCTAATATTTTTTTTGAGATTGGATTAAGATTTATTTAAAGAAATTAATATCTTGCATTTTTAATGTTACACATGAGCACATATGTTTGCCTAGTTATGCTTCTGTAAGTTCTTTAATAATTTTTACAGCATCTCGTACTTCTACTTGTTTGCCAAATGCTAGCAATTTACGTGAAATATCATATTCTTCTTTCTCATGGTATTAGGTCGGTCTTTCATGGAAGCATGTTATTATTTGTGCTCCAGATCCCAAAACTCCATCTTTAGTTGTGCAAGTTATATACTAAAAGTTAAATTTGTTCTGATTAAAGAGTCATGAAAATAGAATAAAAGATTACACTTATTTACCCAATATTTACTGTTTCATGTATCATTGTGATACTTTAATCCATCCTTGAAATTATAGTATTAACAAGTGTATTACAACAAGATAGCCAATAAAAGGTATCCTTTAAACTTTTTTAGCTGTTTTTATTATTGAATCTTGTCTATTTTAGGAAGATTTTTTTATATTAATCAAAGTAATCAACAGGCAACAAGTGACCATTTGGACATCCTTGAATGTCTTTGAAAAACCATTCTTGAGAAAAGTAAATACAACCTTTATGTTTCAGGAACATCAATTCATTGTTTAAACTCTTGTAAAGTGTTGGCCTCTACTACTGCTGACCGCAACTCTTTCCATAAATCAATTGCCCTGTTGGAAAAATATAACTTTCTTAATTAAGTATAGCCCTTTTCAAAATTTTAAACTTTTATTCTTTCATCCTATTATCTTCAACATTTAGTGCACAGAAACCAGAATCTTTATCCTTCAAACCTTCACATAATCTTGTAAACTTCAATATGATAACCTCTTAACCTTTTTTTCTCAAGATAAAATAAGTCAAGAAATCTTAACCCATTCCTGTAATATAACCCTTCCAATCCTGGAATCATCCTAATAGCCATCCTCGGGACTCTTTCTAATAAGTCAATATCTTTAGATATGGTGGCCAAAATTATGAATAATATTGTAAGTGAGGTTTAACTATTTATTTGTTGGTCCATCAAAGCTTGCAATTAATATATCCATAAATACAACCTAAAATCCTATTAGCTTTTGTACTAGTATCCTGCTTTGATATCTTGAGTGACTTACCTACCAATATGCCAAAATCCTTTTCTTCAATGACACTATTGGTTTTAAGCAGTATTCTGCATCCTTAACAGTTGCTAGGGGAAAACATGATTGATGAACAAGATGATCACGTTAATTCTGACCTTGTTAAGAAAAATTAGGAAAAATTGGATATATGAGCCATTTTCTGATATTTTTAACAAGTCTTTGAGTAGTGGATAGGTGCCAAAGGTTTGGAAATTGGCTGATGTAACTCTTCTTTTTTTCACGAGATGTTATAAAAAATTGTCCAGGTAACTAATTCCATATACCTATAAATCTTATGTCAGTGGTGGGATATGTTTTGAAAGTTTGATAAAAGATGCTTTGCAGAGTCATATAACACAGCTTAAAATTTTATTGGATAGTCAACATGGTTTCACAAGGAGAAAATCTGGCCTTACTAATCTTTTGACATTCTTTGAAGAGATGAGAGTAAAGAGGTGAATATGATGTATCTGGATTTTCAGAAAGCACTTGACATGTTGTCACATAAAATGTTTATGAAAAATATTATCACTAAGAGTGTGGGGGACAAACTGGTTCATTGGATAGAAAGCTGGCTGGAAGGAAGAAAGCAGAGGGTTGTTATAAATGGAATTCAGTAAAACTGGATTAACGTTACAAGTGGGGTGACTCGGGACTCAGTGTTGGCACATTTGCTAATTTTGATTTACATCAATCACATAAATAAAGGAATGGTCAAAAAATTTCTTAAACTTGATGATATAAAATTTTATATTAAGACTTCTTGAACCTACGTGTCTTTCTGACATTAGGAATAAAACTTGATGATATTGAGGTCTTGGATGTTGCTTACTATGAGGAGGATATTACTATTTTACAAAAGGGTTTAGATCATTTGAGGAGTTGGGCATTTAACTGGCAAATTGGTTTTGGTTATAATATAATAACATATGTGGGTTATCGTAATTAAAATTATTAGTATAACTTTGATGGGAATAATTTTAACATGTTATGGAAGAAAGGGATCTTTATATTTTGGTTCATCAATCTCTTAAGCCATCCAAACAGTACCTTGTTGCTGGTGGTAGGGTAAATAGGATTTTAGGTTGTACTTACAGAAATATTGAATATAGGACTAAAGAGGTTATCATTTCATTATATAGATCACTTATTAGTCCACATTTGGAATATTGTGTTCAATCTTGGGTTCCTTAGCTTAGGAATGGCATTGAATTGTTGAATAGGGTTCATAGGAGGGCTACTAGGATGATACCTGGGATGGAAAGGTTGTCATATAAGAACAGGTTAAGATCTCTGAAATTGTTTTCTCTTGTAAAAAAAAAAGAATTAGAAGGGATCTGATTGAGGTGTTTAAGATTGTTAGGGGAATTGACAGTGTTGATGCATCATTTGTTTTTTGTACTTATCGGTAAGACAATGGGACCCAAATATAAATGTTGGTAAGGTTGAGGTAATCTTTAGCTTAAGCAGTCTTACTTTCCTAACTGGGTAGTTCGCCTTTAGAATAGGTTACCTTTAGATGTAGTGGATGCGATAAATTTAGGGGGAACTTGAGGGAAGGTTTAATAAATATTTAAGTGAACAGGGCTGGATTTCATTTTGTTTTAAGTGTATAGTATATACAGACTTCCTATTGTCCTTAAATGTTATATTAAATGTGTCTTCCAAATTATAATAACCCAAATGCATTACCTTGCACTTTCTGTAGTTAGAGGTTGTTTGCTAAATATTTGTCTGACTTACCAACTGACCCAAATAATTCTTTAATACATTAACATCTTTAGTGCATCTAAAAATACCCAAGAGTTTAATGTCCTCTGGAAAATTTACTAATTATGCCTCTGTCAATATCGTTAATCTAAATAAGAAAAAGCAAAGGACCAAGCACTGACTTCTGAGGTAATGCACTTATTAACAAGGATCTAATTTAACTGGGCTTTGTTAAGAGTGATATTTTGAATTTTTTCTATTTAACCATCATACAGGCAAAATAAATGGTCTTTCCAGACTTTTTCCCTAATCCTTATTAATGTGATTTTCTTAGCTAATAATTTGTATGGCTCCATATCAAAAGCTTTTCGAGAATCAAATTCTACAAAGTCCATACCCTTTCCTCTTTGTAGATCAGTGATTTTCAGCTTGTGGTATGCATACCCCAGGGGTACACACAGATCTTTATTGGCAAAAACCTTTGAGAAACATTAAAAAGGAAATAAACCCCACACCTCTTAAGTGTTCACATATTGTTCACTCATCCTTGAATTATGTTCTTAGATTTAAATTTTTATTAATTAAAACCACTCTAAAGTTTTTTCCTAACAAATGATGTGTGTGTCAAAGGTACACTGCTGGGTCAAAGGTCTGACTGGGGGTATGCAGCCTTTAAAAGGTTGGGAACCACCAGTCTAGATAGCAAGTAACATCCTCGAATAAAGATAACAAATTAGTAAAGGAAGATTTCCCTTTGGTGAATCCATATGAATTTTCATTTATGATATCACATTTCACTAAATAATTTTATAAAGCTTCTTCTATCAGACTCTTAGAATTTTCCCACTAAAGAAATAAGGGCAATTTCTAGGGCAATCCTTATCACCTCCTTTAAAAATATGGGTAATGTGAGCAACTCTTCAGTCCTCGGAGAACCCGCCCACTCTCTATTCACCTTTGAAAAAGGAAAGATAAAGGCTCACTTATTTGATCTCTGACCTCCTTTAAAATCTTGGGGAAACCTTGTCTGGTCCTAATGCTTTACATTTTTTTAGTCTCTCAATCTTTATACTTATTACCAAGGAATTAGTATCTATATAATTAAGGGAAATTATAATATTTCTCAAGGATTTCTGAGGGTTAGGAATTTTGCTAATATGTGGTTAAGTACCTTTATTTTATTTTTATAAGTTATGGATATCCCCCCCTCTTCAGATGCTGTAGAACAGAGTATGGTGATTAAACAGTTAGAGATTATATTCCTATCTTATGGTCTAACAAGTCATTTTAAATTTCACCCTCACTAATTCCATTAATTGTGCAAGAGTGGATGACACTCCCCCTCCCCTTTATATTGGCAGATTGTGTATTAATAACATTATAAAATATAATACTAGCTAGAATACCTAACCCCTGGATGGAAGTTATGTAAATTCATGGTCAATGAAAGGTTATCGTATAACATGAAAAGTTGCTTCCCTTATAAGTAATTGTAAAAAATGTTAAAATGCCCAAAAAAATGCCTCCACATAGACCCAACAAACCTTCATGCCAAATTTGGTGAAGATTCATAAACAGGAAGGAAGTAGTTGTAAAAACACAAAAATGCCCATAAAAAACCACAAAATGCAAAACTGAAAATTTGTATGTTTCTACCCACAGACCCAATGAACCTCCATACTAAATTTGGTGAAGATCCATCCACACCCTATGAAGTAGTTACATGGACATACATCGGATAGTACTATTATATTTATATAGAAGGTAGAAAATGGTTAACTATTGCTAAATAATTCTACATCAGTTATAAGTTATCTATTTCCTCTATTATTTTAATGCATTATGAAACAGATAATTTAATGACACCGTTAAGAGGGCTACCATACATTTTTGAACAGAATTAACATTGCCAAATAGTAATTTTCAAGTATTTTATCTGTATAAGCATATGGATGATAAGTTTGTAAAAGAAATAAAACAACAAAAAGACCTTTGGTCCTTTTTACATCAATGTGCATATACTTGATTTGAATTTGTTAAGTAGAGATGTTTTGCCTTACCATATTTCTATCAGTTATTCCTACTAATGTAGCCTGAAACCACAGCTACATATTCATCAGTAGATTTAAAATGTAAATGTGTCCAGTGGTGAAAATCAAGTTGTTTTTGTTAGTATTCATGCACAGTGAACTCACTGTTGCACATATGTGTAACCTTGACTAAGCAAGCTCAGTTGTTAGTGATGATTTACTGTGTATTTCATGTAACTTTTAGGCCAAACTCTTTATATGGTATACATGTATATTACATGAACGAATTGTAACCAAGGCCATTAGAAACAGAACCACTAAAATATAGATTGAGTATAGAACTTAGCTGTAAAAGTACGTTTCTGAAGTAAAGTTTGTGACATTATTCAGTATACATTAAAATTTTTCTTAGTTGTTTAAAAAAAAAAGGTGACCTGAAGTATGGTTATTGAAAAAAAAACAGTATTGTAAACAAATTATTTCTGTAACTGACAAAAAATAATAAATTGGGTTTGAGATGAAGGACAGATGTGTAAAATAAGATAACATATTTGGTTAATGTACTGATGTGTGACATGGTACAAATTACTTGAAATGAAGGTAATGAAACCATTCAAAGACAGATGCTAGCTGTTGTATAAGCATGTGTTCGTTTTTATTTTTTAAACAATTTTTTTTACACTTAAAACCATATTTCATATATAATCATAGTTTTAATTAATGTTATATTATTTCATTAAACTGCAAGTTACTTTTTAAAAAAACATGCAAGTGTTTTGGCTATACTAGATGTTACCATGTAATGTTTAACCACTTAGAGGATAATATTATCAGTGCTCATTGTTATAAAGTTTTATTTTAATATACTTAGCAGTCATTTTGCTGTAATATATAAAATGTTTGCCTGAAAACGTGGTGCTTTATTAAGAACTGTCGTAACAAAAGTTATGGTATAATATTAGTAGCATTTTTTTTCATTATATGGTGTAACCCACATTTGTCTGGATGCAACTGAAAGGTAAAGTCCTGGACTAACTGTTGTTGACATTATAACACAGAATTCTAGGATACAGTAATATATCAATTGTCTCTCTCACTATCAGTGTATTCATCATTTTATTTTCTAGTTGCAGAAGCTTTTCTTTTTTCCCCCATCCCCCTACAGGCCTGGAGGAGTAAAACACTTGACTCACAATCTGAGGATCATGTGTTTTAATCCCCTTCACCAAAAATTCTTACCCTTTCAGCTGTGGGGGTATTATAATGTGATGGTAAACCCCACTATTTATGGGTAAAATAGTAGCCCAAGAGTAGTTGGCAGTGGATTGTGTTGACTAGCTGCCTTCCCTCTAGTTTTCACTGCTAAATTACAAACAGCTAGTGCAGGTAGCTCTCATGTAACTTTGTGCAAAATTCAAAACAATCTTTTTGCCCTCCCCCTTTCCCCAGTGGCTCAGTAGTAAGTCTGCAGGATTATTACAATAAAAATCATGCTTTGGTACCTGTGATGGGCAGAATATAGATAGCCCATTGTGTAGCTTTGTGCTTAATAACAATCACAATTAATTAAAAGGCTTTTTTTAGTCTGTTTCTCATAATTTTCTATATTAAGATGATGAAAGAAAATTGTTAATGTGGTCAGTATTTAATTAAAATAAAAACATCTTGTTGTTAGAGTTGACCATTTTGTAATATATAAGCTCCAAGGTATTTTGGATGTTTTGCCAGCTAAGTCAATACTGTGAAATTCTTTAAGTTCATAAATCAAATAGAAGGTTAAATGAAATGATACTGTGCTTATATTTTGCCATTACCTGTACTACAACTACATGTTAATTTAAATTCGGAAATCTTTCAAGGTGACCCACCTTCCTGCTGGAAGAAAAACAAGTTTCGTCATTCATCCATAATTAACCACATCTTGGAAGTATGTTAGTCTTAAAGTGACATTTATTGCTTAACTGTTGGTGGTTCGTAAGTAGCACAAATGATGACTTTGCAAACTTTAATGTATAAAGAAGAAAAGATATCTCTGTAGAAAATGAAATATATATATGCATTCATTAAATAGTTCTATTGAGATGAACTTGCCTGAACTCCTTGTTAAACAAGACTTATAATGCACAAAAAGTTTTTTAATGGCTGAGGAGGTATTTGGTCATTTGCTTGTAATGGCTTCTGTGAAAAAGAAAGTAACAGAAAGAAGGTATTTGAATGATGCACAGTTTGTGTTTGCATATTGCCAGTCCTGGTTAAATTCTGAATTAAAGAAGGATCTGATTGATGGATCTCAGTACTACCTTGACTAAAAGTATATGGAAGAAAATAGAGCTAGAAAATATTTGTCATTCCAATACTAAAATTTAGCATCAAGACAATTTTTCAGTCTGTTGTTTCCTAACTTTGTAACCAGTTCAGTCACATACACTGATATTTGTAAGTAAATAAACACTGATGAAACATTCTAATATTCACACTTTTAACATCAGCTCACCAGTGCTAGATTTCTTATTTAGTTCATGTGCTAAGTTCACTATGGCTAATGTTTCTTTTAATATTAACCACTGCTCATTTTCAGCTTTTCCGATAATTACAGTATTTTAGTTTGAGCTTTTGTATAGTACGAGGCTATTGCCCATAATTAGCATGCATAGATTTGTCTTGCATGATATCCACAATAATGTTTTTAGTGCTAATATATCACTAAGTTTAATCAATATAAGTAAACTGAAGATTAACTTAGAAAATAATGAAACAAATTTAATATACTGATCTAACTAGAGAATTTTCAGAAGAGATGTCAAATTAGAAGTGAAACATAAGCTACAAAAATATGTTTGATTCATCTTGCACTACAGGGTGGAAACATGGACTCAGTTTACTGGAACAAAATGAAAATTGGGAACATTTGGAATTTATGGTTGTAGATGAACAATGAAGATCAGCTACACAGAAAGAAAAAATAATGGAATGTCAAAGATAAAAAGACAACTGTGAACATATGTAGGAAATGGAAAATGGACTACTTTGGGCATATATTTAGATCTGAGGGAATGTTGGCTGAGATTCTGAAGAGTAAAACTGTAGGAAGAGCAATGAGAGACAGGAAGAAACTTGTGGTTTGATGGTGTTAGTAAATAGATTAGAGATGAGAATCTTGAATTAGGAAAGTTGATGCAGACAGCAAAAAAAGAAAGAAAAAATGAGAACCACAGTATCAACCTTCAGAACTAATTGATAGGTTTTAATTAGGAGTTTGTAATGTTATAAACAAAAAGCTATAATGATTAGAATGTATTAATTCATCTGTTATGTACCCTCACCATTACTGATATTTTCAGCTGTAATCCCAGTAATATCTCATGAGGTTTGGCCTGCTTAAGAGATATTTAGGTTAATTCTAAATTCATATACTGAGTTAAAAATGAAAAATAATCCATGTGATAAAATAAGAAGTATAATAAATTAAGAATAATAAAAGTATTCTATATATTAAATATTTTAACCAATAGTGTTAATGAAACTAACATTAAAGATAGAATAGAACATAACATTACTTATAAGACATATAAAAACAAGTAGTTTTCTTCATGCATTATCACTGATGTCCTCTAATTGGGACCAAACCTGAACTTTCCTTTTTCAGTAATAATACTTGGGGACTTTTATTATTATTATTATTATACATGTGTAAATGCTGGGATTATGTGTATTCATTGTGTCTTATGTCATTTATAACTTTTACTGTTTTCTGCAATACAAACAAAAACATGTATAACTATTCTTGTAGTAGTTTTAACTTTCACAGGATTTCAGCAGAAAGGAGGATTTTAATTGTATAAAAATATGTGTAGTTTCTGTTTAGTTGAAAAACAGTGACATAAGTAACAGTGGCCCCTAATTATTAACAGTAATTTATGTGTTGATGAATTAACTTGTCAGGACACTTCAAGTTTAAAATGTTTACACTAAAATTGAAATAAGGTGGATTACTGCGTGAAAAGTTCTTATATATTCAGTATACAATTAAGTTGTGCATATCTTTGTAATAATGGTAAAATTGATAAATAAAAAAAAGAGATTTAAAACTTTCAATATGCAGTTTTCCCAAAAATAATTAATACAATTAGGTTTAAACTATAGATAAGAGGGAGTAATGAAATAATAAAAATAAATAGAAGAAATTGATTAAACAAAAAGATTAAAATTTGAAATCATTATTGTGGTGAATAACAGAAAAGAACTTTGAGTTATGCTTTTATGGATCATGTAATATCTTATATAGGAAGATTTTACTTCCCTATTCTTGAATGCTTTCCATATTTGAAATTTTTAAGTGTCGGACTCTGGGTTCTCACATCAAAATAAAATTTAAAAAAAGTTATCTTCTTATTGGTTCCCAACGAAATATGAGCTCCTGAATAAAAAAAAAAATTGTCTTGTTTCCTTTTTTTTCCCCCTTGATATTTTATTTTTAAATGGCATGTTACATATAATCCCATTCACAGTTACAGTAGTCTTCCCCACTATGACACCATTCTGGGAATTCAGAATTAGGTCTTATGTGGTATTAATCTGGAATGGCAAGATCTCTTTTGGTGATAGTAACCCACTTATAGTGTTTTCTTTATAGTATAGAATTACTTGATTGCTCAAAAGTACAGTTTAGAAATGTGTAAAGTTAAGTCAGATAGAACATCCAATTTAAACAGTTGTGCCTTGTTGAGCCTATCTGGGTTTTTTTTCTGAAGGATAAAAAAAAGTTTTTGAAGAAATTATATTTTTAATATTTGACCAAATAATCATTGATTATATATTTACAAGAAAATATTGTATTGTGGTACATAAATGTGGTTTTACATGGGCCATGAAGAGACAAGTTTAAAAAGTAATTTTACTTAATGTATTGTAGTTTTCATGCCTTTCTGAATTTGATATAAAAGAACACCTAATCTGTTTTACCCCCTGTTGATTTGAAGCTTTTTCGCCCTTGTTGAAATCAATCTCTTTATCTTCATGTAATATTATTGGTTAGTAGTTATAAATACAGATTTATCTTCTTATTCCTTGGATGAATATTCCATTATCATCACTTACGTCTGTATTCTAGTAGGTGAATAGTTTGAAACGTGAGCACATATAATAGTGCTGGTAAATGATTTGAATAAACATTTTGAAATCACTCCAACCTATTGACGCGTCACGTATCTGCGATCTGTATGTAACAAGTCAATGACCTCATAAAATGGTTAGAAATTGCTAGAGCGTAGTTTCATAATTTCCAACAGTATTTCAAAAGAAGCCATGTATTTATAGGGGATACTGTTTCAAATGACCATGACAAAACCAGGTTTGTTTGCATCGGATATTCCGTAAAGCTACACAAGGACTATCTACGCCAGCCGCCTCTTAATATAAACTGATAGACTAAAGAGAAGGCAGCTACTGAACAGCACCAACCGCCAACTCGTGCGATACTTTAATCGAATGGTGTGCTTAATCCTTATTATCCACAGCCTCAAAGTGCAGAGTGCGATTTTGTAGCAACAAGACGCGAATCATGGACCCTCGGATTCACAGTCCGACACCCCTATCTTTAGGCCACACTCAGAATTTCATGCAATATTTCATAGGACGCAATCTATAGAATTTCGTGTAATATATTCAAGAAAATACGTGTTTGTAGGGATACATTATAACAAATGTAGCCTAACTGCAATTTTTACGAAAAGCGGTGGCAAGTCTGTTTTGTATTTCTTCGTGAATAGTATTGTAGATACAAGGATAAAAGAGCGCGTGGGCTATCCGTGCGGTTGCATTAGACACACTCGCATACTAAAGTGTTTTATCATATTATAAATATACAGAAGATACCTGCCTACACGTATCCATCTGAATACATAAATTTTCGGGATAGAACTTGTTGGTTATCTCCGTTTCAACAAAAAGTTAATATTTCTAAATAAATAACGTATAACAGGTTGAAAAGTTATTTTTAATGTATGTATATGTGTGTGTGTATTTACTTTTTAACATTCCAGAGAAGTAGACCGTAACACAACAGCACCTTACCTTGGGGGATATTTTAAATCTTTTCAAACAACTAAGCCAAAAATACAAATACATCGCACGCGAAGAACAGACAAGTAAAACTAGAACGCAAACTGCATTGTTGGAATGGTGGAATATACTTCAGTGAGAGAGACATTTGAGAAATTAGAACATAAATAGCAATGGGATACACCGTCTATCCGAATAATTTTGGTGTAGGGCAAGAAATCACTTTAGGATGTTTTTTTTGTTGTTGTTTATAAGTTTGTTCAGCCAGGTAGTCTCGTCTTTTCTCGTATGATCACTCTCTTACGTTATTTGGCCTTTACGAGATCTAATTTTTGATAACATAACTGTATCTATTATAATCACTTAAAATAAAGTGCTGTTTGACTTGCTTTGGCTCTAATTTCCGAAATGTTGTGCTTTTTTAATATCAAAATTATACAATTTACCATTATTTATATTATAATTTTGTAGTATTATACATAAAATAGTCACACACACACACACATATATGTATATATATATATATATATATATATATATATATA